GCTGGTCAGGCCACAGCTGGAGTACTGCGTCCAGTTCTGTGCGCCCCATTTCAGGAGGGATGTGGACAACATTGAAAGGGTCCAGAGGAGGGCCACCCGCATGATCCGGGGACTACAGGGCAGACCCTACACTGAAAGACTGCAGGACCTAAACCTGTTCAGCCTCCACAAGAGAAGGCTGAGGGGGGACCTGGTGACTGTCTATAAACTCACTAGGGGGGACCAAAAGGGTTTAGGGGAGACACTGTTTCCCCTAGCGCCCCCTGGCATGACAAGGAACAATGGACACAAATAAATAGAGAGTAGATTTAGATTAGACATCCACAAGAACTACTTCACAGTTAGGGCGGCTAGGAGTTGGAACTAACTTCCTAGGGAAGTGGTGCTGGCTCCTACCCTGGGGATCTTTAAGAAGAGGCTTGATGCCTACCTGGCTGGACTCATTTGAGTCCAGTCTTTTCTCCCGCCCAGGCGGGGGGTTGGACTTGAAGATCTACAAGGTCCCTTCCAACCCTATTTCTATGATTCTATGAAAATATAGGCCACCAAATCCCAGACCTAGTCATCCAACCCCTGCACATTGAGCAGTGTCCTGCTGAAATGGAGGATGGCCTTATTTACCTGGAGGGGAAGGGAGGACAGACTGGAGTCAGGACTACCTTTATGCCTGAATGGTGGAGCGGACTGGCCATGGCATAAACCCTCCCACAAACCTTGGAAAGGATGACAGGGAGGAAGAAGGGTCCCCAGGCCTCCAATTTTATTTCTAGAGTTTATAAAGAGGCAAGAGAACAATGTGTCCTTGCTACTCAGTAGTGCCATATTGGCATCTGAGGGAAAGTATATCCCCACCCTCCTGGCAGTCTGATAACACTTCCATAGATCTTGACTCTCCCCAGCTCTTTAAGCAGAGGGGCAGACTCTGCACTGCCTTCCCTGAAGATGCTGACAGTGGGGAAAGGTTTTCTCTACAAGAGAACCAAGAATCTTGTGTGGGAATTTTGGGTCAGGTCCATGTGCCATCCCCAGTGCAGCCACTACTCACAAATCACCTCATCTCAATACTCTGATCACCAAGCATGCACCTCATGGCCTTGACTAGTTCACATTTTTTCTTCCTCATCTCCAGCACTGGAAGAAGAAGGAGGGCACCATATTGCTGTGTTCTGGGAGCTCACCTTCCAGAGCAAGATGCACCCAGATTGCAAAAGACCTGATTGTGGCTACCTTATGCACTCTGATCTTTCTCAGAAGAGGAGCTGCCCCATGTTTCAGAGGAGCTCACCACTGGCTGGACCGTGTTCGTGCTCTCCAAAAACATCTGGAAGAGATCTGTTTTGAGCAAGGCTGCAGCCTCTAACCAGGGTCCATGCAGGAGATACACCATAGGCTCAAGCTACATTACACTAAACAAACTATGCATTGACTAAGGTTTTTTGAGGGGAAACTGGGCAGAGCTCACTCACCTGGATGTCCCTCATGTCTTTGGAGGACAAGTGGATGATTCTCTTGACAAGGCACCTATCCAGGCCCTTTGTGTCCCCCTGCAAGACTCTCCAGGCTAGAGTAAATGGTTAGTCTTGTCTCCTGGGAACACACAAAGAAAGAGAACAATGGGCTGCCTTTGGGACCAGTGCCAGATCATCCAGGACTGTGATGTTGGATACCAGCTACCTAGGGTTTGTTCTACGGCTACTCCAAGGGGGAACTTGTTCCCTGGACAGGCACACAACCCAGGGTGTCTTGGGTTTGTCCTTTCATGTAGATGTTCACAGCTGGCACTAACAAGGGAGGAGCATCAGGCAGTGAGAGGGCACAATGTAACAGAATGGTGGGAGACACAGAAATACAATAAAAAAAGCATTCATATGCATCA